TGTCCTTTCACTTTTGTCATGGTTGGTTTTCAATTTCAAACAAGTTCAATGAATCCACAGACTCACAGCATGCGGAGGGCTAAGACTTTGCTGCTTCTTGTTTGACTTTTAAAGAGACACCAGGGACAGACAGATAGAGAGGTTTTGCCCCATTCTTTTGGTTTGGGCCGGCTACCGCCACAATACAATTTGCCGAAAGGAAGTCGGAGAATGATACAATGACAAACTTTGGTGTTGATTTGATGCCACTCTTTGTAATGGATGGGGTCCTCTCGTTTCAGAAGTTTCCGCTACACATTTTTTAACCTCGGTATAGACTTGTGGTAAGTTGGTTAGAAGTTTATATTTTTCACATATGACATTCATAAAATAATTAAACGTAGAAGTGCATTTGCTGCAAAATAACTATGTTGACAAACTTATCTGCCAAGTTTTGTATGCCTACTTGGTACTTTTCTACAGTCCATGTGATCCATGTGTTTTGTTGTTTTTATTGAATATTCATAGATTTTTGCTTGTACCTTGTCACTTAAACAACGGGTAAAGAGGATAATGGAAGGCAACCGTCGAATGGGAAGGAATGGTAGATTAATGTCACTGGTCCCTTTATTTCCCTTTTAACTTTCTTAAGGAAGATAAAGTTTGACCCAAAGTATAAGTTTCACTGATTGTTGCTTTTTTTTTAAATTTTGTAGGTTATCATTGATTCTTCGACAGGTTCAATAGCTAATTTTTCTTGTGAAGTGGAAATTAGCAAGTAGATCTTTCATCCTCCTCCTTTCCTACTTAATTTTCTAGTATGCAGAATGTCATTTGTAAACTCCACTACCATGCTTCCTCCTTTTAAAGAAAAAAATTTATTATTTTATGTAGGGGTGAACCACTCCCAAATGGACGTTTCTATTTAGAGGTTAGATACGAGTGTGTTTCACTTCAATCTGTACTTTTGCGCTCTGTTTACATTGTATAATTCGATCTTGGGACCAAGATGGGTGAGTGGTCTTATGAGATGTCTAGCCATTCCTTTTAATTATACAAATTTATAAATAAACCCAATTCTAGACATGTATTTATAAAAAAACCCAAGCACTATTTAAACATAGAAACACACCCAAAATCAACCCCAAAGTCAACTTTTTGGGTGTGTTTATAAATAGGTTTTGAGTGTGTGTAATGATGGGTTTTGGGTGTGTTTATATGTTTAAATAGTGCTTGGGTTTTTTTATAATTTCAACCCCCATTACTGCTCTTGTTCAATATTTGTGTCTTTTGATGTACTCCTCAAGTACCAGATGACAAGAGCCGCATGCTTTCATTGTCTGATACATTGATTGTAACCTATTATTAATATTAATAGAAATATAGACATTGTTTTTCTCAATACCTATAGACCTTTTTCATTCTAGTATGAATTCTATCAGTACACTCCTTCAAAGAGATGACAGAATTCTGGTATAGCTGTGCGGCTATACTATTTATTGAAAACAAAAAGGCCAAAAATGGCAATACGAGCTTTATATTTCCCTCCATGCCTGGCTCGCTTCACCGAATCACTTCCCATCAAAGTCTTCAAGTTCAAGGCCAAAATAGAGGTGGGCAATTCCTCATTTGAGCTCTCATGGCGCCTCCCAAGAAATCAAAGAAAAGCAAGAAACATAGGAATATTGAAGAAAAACTTAAGCTTGGTTCCAGTCGAGCCTGAAGCCCCAAACTCTGGCTAGTGGGATAGTTTCTTCAACCCAAGGTTTTTCTTTTCACTAAGCTCAGTCTTCAATTACTCTGCTTCCTGCTTTTTAGTGGAATGCATTCAAATTACTTGTAGTTTTAACTAAATTATCTTTATATTTTGCTTATTTTGGAAAATCTATGATGCACATAAGTCTAGAACTGGTGGTGGATTTTGTTCTGTAATGTTAAATTCGGTAATGATGTTCATAATTAGAGCTCAAAACCTATAAATTGTGCTTTTGTTCAGTTAGGATGTTGGAAAAATGTCCCTAGGCGCTAGGCGGCCGCCTAGGCGAGTGTCCTTTTTCTTTTCTTTTTTTCCTGACTTTAGCCAAATTATGAACTCGCTTCAATTTCTGATGGCCACTATACAAAAATTTGCTTTTGATTATGTGTTTTGCATCTTGAAAAGAAAAAGATGTGGTCGAAAAGTTATTACTAGAGGAAGCAATAGAGATTTTAGCATGTAAAAGTAGTATGTAATTGTTAGGAATCTGGGTTGGCCTAAGTTGGATGAGTAGTTGGAAATCCTGACTGAATCAGACTTGGAGAATATACAGACATTGAAACACATAGTCGGGCTTTGCTTGTTGTCATAGTCTATGAAGCCGTAATTCACCTCTGGAAGGTTGACAAGTTTGACTTTGTTGTCTGCCTGAGTGCCTATATCGACGTCGTTTTTGGCAGCGTTGAAATTGGACTAGTCTTAGTGGTACGTATCACTATTGTGTGTGGCAGTAACACTATATCTATCAACTTAAAACTATGCATTAGAACTAATATTTCTTTTTTCTTCTGTGTAGGTTGCAATATCTGTGATCAGGGTACTTTTGTTTGTGGCAAGGCCAAGGACTTTTGTTCGACGAAACCTTCCGAATTCCATGGTTTACAGAAATGTTGAGCAGTATCCCAACGCAAGCAATGTTCCTGGAATTCTCAAATTCTCATACTTGAGATTGATGCTCCCATTTACTTTGCAAATACCAACAACTTAAGAGAAAGGTACTAATTAATTAAACCAAAGTAAGAACTAAAGATTTGGGGCTTAAGATAGATAATAGCAAGTACAGGGACTAAGGTTTTGTTGAGTTGTTCTTGAGGTGGTTGTACTATCTTTTTGTTTTCTGGTCATGTTTACATTCTAGTGAGTCAGAACTAAAGATTTGGGGCTTATGATAGATAAGTGGCTTATCTATGGGACTGGGAAAGAGACATCCCACTTTGTTTGAGAAGGTTTGAATCAGACATTTGATTTTTATGATGATTGCACATATTTTCATCTACAATTGATTGAATAACTAGTGTAGTGCTTCAAGTTACCAGTCGCTTCTAACCAAGGTGCTTTCTGATAGTGTCACCATACTCATTAAACATAGAGACCTCTATGTGTCATCCGTTTGATTCTAATAATTTCCAAGTGTTAAGTTGGTTAACTGTTCTAGCCTTTGAGCCATAAATTACTGAAACAGTCTCATGATGAAAGAATTGATTGCGTTCTCATGATTATTTGTGATCATAGAAACTGTTTTCCAGAAATCCTTTAATCTTTCTCTGATTTATTTGTTTCATTTGTAGGCACACAGGTTGGAGAGGACTTGATGAAGGCATCGTTGTAGTTGGGACTTGCATGATTTAAAAGCCACAATGGCTGGTTGCATGTCAACCCCATCCAAAACAATTAAACTACGGAAAAAACACTCTCAGCGGGTCGTCAAACGCCATAGAAAGGCAACCTGCTCCGCCTCAGATGGTACCAAGAAAATAAATACCAGTTTCAAGAAAATAAATAGTGATGCAGGAGGTCGCGTGAGTGACTATGCTGTCAATGAGTTTGTTCATGTGGACTTTGAGAATGGTGCAACAACTACTCACAGAAGATCTAAGGTTTCTAATTCAACATTCCATTTCACCCAGCTGCAATGACACCACAGTCAATATGATTCGAATGGTGTGTGCTTTCTTTCCTCAGATTTCAACTATCTTTCAATTTCAACCAATAGTGCTGACAAGAAAATTCATAGCTCTTGAATCTCATATTTTGAAAGTTATTCATTTGCAGTAATTTTCCAAGAGGAAGCTTGGTTTGACTCAGTGAGTATTCTGGAGTCTGACTCGGAGGATGACTTTATCAGTATACATGGAGGTATTGGCCATCAGCCTGTAACTACATATTACAGAATGAAAGCCTTGTGGTCTTGTTTGATTGCAAAACGTCATTACTACTGAAGTAATTTTTCTTGAGCTACTTATTGGAAAAGGATTTTGTTTTGTTTTCTTAATTTTCTTCTCTTATTCTACAGATGGTTTTCCATTAGCAAGCAATCCAGTTCGGAATATCTCAAGTGGCCAAGTACTTCAGTACGAAAGATCTGCTCGCTTTGTTGATAACGGGTGTAAGTATGAAGAATAACGAAGCTATATGAAAATTGATGGAGGTAAATCACATAAAATCACAGACAAAGATGGGCGCAAGGAATCAAATCGGTTTTCGCTTATTAATACCCAGGGCTATGAGCTTTTTTACTTAGGGAAGGCTGATGAAGTTTGCAGTAAGATGAAGAATATATTAGATGACTCTTATGGAAGCTTTAAAGGACTTACAGAGGATGGACGTGATTCTAATGAAAAAATTCAAGACAATGCCCTGAAATCCGGCTTATCTCGATTGGTACCTTCTGTAAGTTTCAAAGATAAGATTCTAAGTGCACAGAGTTTGGTTCCACAGTCCCAGAGAAAGCCATCAGCCGTTTTCATACTTTCCTTTAAAAGGAGATCCTGTGACGCATAACAAACCATTGAACAATGTAAGCATTCAAATAATTCAATTTTCTTGAATAGAAAGAAAACTTAGAATATTGGGATTGATGTACATGTATATTATTGAACATTTCAATGATGTATCCACAGGTCAATCAAAAAGGTTTCTGTATCGGCCTAGACCAGGATATATCATTCCATGTTGTAGAGTAGAGAAGCCGACTTCAGGATCTTGGTTTGAGATTCCACCCTCAACTTTTAAATTCCGTGGCCAGAACTATTTCAAGTATGACTTTGGTTTTTTCTTTTGTCAATACCAACCTTAACTGAATTTCGACATTTGCAACTAATTACTCTGTTCTGCCTTGCTAATGATAATATTATTTTCTGTTGGTCTACCATCCAGAGATAACGAAAGTCAACTCCATATACTCCAATAGGTGTTGATGTGTCAGTATGCCCCAAAAAGATACATCACATTGCCCAGCATCCTGAGCTTCCCAAAGTGAAAGCAAATGGGAAGTGTTCATTGTAAAGATACAGGTATTTTTTCAGAATTGATTTATCTTGTTATGTTTTGTTTGTTATATTTGGTCAATATCTAATGATATTGCTTTGCGCCTTGTTGCAGTTGCCTACTTATCCTGCTGCAATGTTTCTTGGTGATAGTGATGGAGAGGGGATGAGTCTTGTAATGTATTTCAAAGTTTCTGAGAATTTTGATAAAGACATCCCTCCTCAATTCCAGGACAGTATCATGGTAACTTCATTTTGTATGCAACTTCATCCATTTGGATAGGCATGTACTTTATTTTGATGGAAATGTGATCTTCTTATGTTCAATTGGAACACTCAGTCTGTTGATATATTTGAATGATGCTTTTAGAAAACGGTTGACAATGAGACAGAAAAAGTTAAAGGATTTGCAAGGGACTCCACTGTACCTTTTAGAGAAAGACTAAAGATCTTGGCTGGGGTGGTAAATCCTGAGGATATCGGTCGGAGTTCTGCTGAGAAGAAGCTTGTACATGAATATAATGAAAAACCAATTCTTTCTTGCCCCCAGCACAATTTTTACAAGGTAAACATTGAACATTTATGTTGCTGAGTGTTAAGAAGATGAAACAGAAAAACCATGTTTGACTTTATCAAGCTCTCTCACATGCAGGGTCCTAACTACTTTGAGATTGATCTGGACATTCATCACTTCAACTACATATCAAGGAAGGGTCCCGAATTGTTTTATGAACGTCTTAAAAAACGGAATAGCCGAGCAGCGATCGTCTAAAATGCTCTATTTATGGAGTATAGCCAGGCGGCTATACTCTCTTTTAAAATATTCTGTTTGTGGCTTATAGCCGCACAGCTGTACTTTTAAATATTCTGTTTATGTATACCCGAGCGGCTAGGCTGTTAAAATATTCTTTTTTACGCGTATAGCCGATCGGCTATACTCTTTAAATGTAACTATAAAAATCTGGATTTCTCTGTAGCAAAGCTGAGCCTTGAGATAATGAATCAATTAGACATGGTATGTATTTACGTTCTAACTTTGTTCCTCTGTGGGTGCTTAGGGTTTAGAGAAAATTTATGCCTTGTTTGTGTGTTGCATGTGTATGAGAAGTGATATAATGATGCTGCTCATCTTTTTAGGTGCCCTTTGTCATATTTCCTAAATAGATTCGAATATTTAAACGGTATAGCGGTCCGTCTATATTCGAATAATAATATAATTACTAATTGAAGTAATTAGAAAAGGCTAAGATATTACTTAAAGACATATATATTAAATTAAAGAAGTTGGGCAAAAAATAAAAGCAAAGAAACTAATCTATTTGCCGAATTAGACCTCTCCCGAGGAAAGTTTCCTATGCCAACAAAATGTCGTCGGGAGAGGTCTAATCCGGCAAAATTGCATCGAGATAGACTTGTGCCGACAAAAGTTCTTCGGGAGAGGTTTTTTTAAATAATAAGTATAAACTTAGTATCTTTAGGTTAGTACATTTTTATTGTAAATTTTTTTTTAGTAATTCAATAAAATCTTAGCCTTATTTAATTACTTTCATTAGTTATTATGTTTTAATCATTATTTATTTTGTGAATAGTATTAAATATTTTAATTAACTTCATAAATATATTACTTAATAAATAGTAATTGTTTTTTTAAAATTTTTTTCTTTAATAAAATACTTAAATACTAATTATTCACTGAGTAAATAATGATCAAAACATAACTACAAAATAAAGTAATTAAAAAAGAGAAATTCAAATTATGATATTTCACGGCTATACGTTTAAAATATTATGTTAATGGAGCCTTACGAAAACAAATTTATGTCCGGAGTGCTAAATTGAATCAATAAATTTGTGATCATGAAAATATTTTAGTAATTCACTGACTCACTTGAGAAGTTATTTTGTTCCTTGTGTACATATCCACATGACATGTTGATGTGATTTATCAAAATTTTCTCAAATTATTATAATTCGTGCACAATAGTTATAAAATCCAAATTTTATACAAAAAGAAGGAACAATCAGAGAAAAAAATCATAGCCAAAGGTGGTTCATATGGTAGATCCAAAGAATCATATGAAGATGAATCCATTCTCGTAGAAAGGTTAGAATGGTGGTTTATATTTTATGGAAAATGGTATAGCCGCGCGGTTATACTCGGGTAATTTTGTTTCCAACTGTACCTGGTATTTCCTTAGCTTTTTTAAAAATAGTATAGCCGATCGGCTATACTTGGTTTTTAAAAAATATTCTGGCGAATTGGACTCGAACTCATCACTACGAACGTCGAGGGCACAGAGCAAGCCCGTTCCAGGTTTTGTGCAGTGTTCGAAATATCGGCCTAGGCGCTGGGATGGAGGACACGGATAGCAGGGAGTTAGGGGGGGCGTAGACGGCCTTGGAGGATCTAGGCGGCGCCTAGGCGGCCTGGGAGGATCTAGGCGGCGCCTAGGCGGCCTGGGAAGATCTAGGCCTTCCTGGGCGGGTCCGGGCGCCAGGGCGGGTGGGTCGTGTCCTTTTTTTTTCCAAATGAAGACAGACGAAGCTTGCTGGTGCGAAGGAGCAAAGGTGACATGTATAGGGTACTCGTCACAATCAATATCATACACTGTGACCTCCTGGTTCTTTATGCCTAGTTTACGAAATTCATCAGCCTCCAACAATGGCAAGATGTGGCTTTCCACATCTTTTTTGCACATGTACAGCGTAGTTCGTGTCACTCACTATATGCCAACTGCTTCTCAAAACGCTTGCTGCACCTTGTGATCTTGTTTTGGTGGCTTGGGGGGACGTCAGGAGGGGCATGGCCTCCTTGTTCTACTTGTTGCGGTTGTTGAGGCAGAGGCATGTCCTGTGCTGCCATGACTGCATGTTCTTGGGCTGCAGATTCGTGAAACTGAGGTGAGACTTGGAGGCTCCAACTTTGTTCAAGTTCTTGTTGCTGTTCAGGCATGCCCTGTGCTGCAATGACTTCTTGGGCATGTTGGGTTCCACGTTTTTGTAATTGAGCAAATTCTTGGGGATAAGAAGGGACATACTTGTTAATTCCAGAGGAGGAGCCTTGTACTAGTTGTGCTGGTGCAGCAACTTCAGTTTCTTGAAACTGACCAAACTCTTGGAGGCCTTGGACTGATTGCGGATAATAAGAAGGGTTAATTCCAGAGGAAGAGCCTTGTTCTAGTTGTTGTTCTGGTGCAGCAACTCCAGTTTCTTGAAACTGACCAAACTCTTGGAGGCCTTGGACTGATTTTTGATAACAAGGGTTAATTCCAGAGGAAGAGCCTTGTTCTAGTTGTTGTTCTAGTGCAGCAACTTGCTGTGGTTCAATTTCTTGAAACAGTGCTACAAAATCTTCATTTTCTTGCTGTGGTTCAGTTTCTTGAAAAAGTGCTGCAAAATCTTCATTTTCTTGCTGTGGTTCCATTTCTTGAAAAAGTGCTGCAAAATCTTCATATTCTGGCGCAGCAACTTGCTGTGGTTGTTCTTGTGGAGCAATGGCTTCAACTTCAGTTTCTTGAAAAACTGATCTGAGATAATCTCACATTTGTTGATTTGAAAGAATTTCTTCTTGCCTTTGCAATTCTCTTTCCGCATCTTCTGCATGCTCTACATTGGAACAGCTGCTGGAACTTCATTTGGGGGGTCTTCATTATGATCATCAGCCATGCCTGATAGACTGATAGTGTTGTTTTCTTTCACAATGGTGCTTCTGATCGCAAGAGAAAAAGTGTTTCTTTGGGAGACTAATTTGGTTCAAGAGAAATGGGAAATGGGAAATGGATTTTCTAGACAGTTCAAGAGATTTCTTGATAATGGAGCCCAAATTACATATTAGTCTCCGGACTAAATCTGTTATAACTAACTAACAACCTGTATAATATACTTTGACTGAAGGAGACTATTACTGACTTGTAAATTTAACCATCTTGCTGGGGTAAAATATATTAATTACAGTAAACATAAGCCAGTTTGAGTTTTAGGCTCTTGGAACATACGTACGAACAATAATGAAACCAAAAGCAATATATCTTTGCCATAATACTCCTAGCAAAATGAACACCTGCAACCTTCATGAATTCCTGCTTCCGAACCAGTCCAAGATCATGACATTAAGTTTTCCAGCCTCCAGTGAGGACATGAATCTTGGTGACCTAAGTCTTGTCAGCCATGTCATAAGTTGTTACATGGATCGAACTTATGAAGGCGCAGTATATCAACACAAGTGCGTACATGTTGAAAGTAATCCAATGGTTCTTCAACTGTGAGGTCATAGACGTTTTCAGATATTGCAACATCATTGAGAACCTCAAGAAGGTATCGTCCACAACCCTTGTGTTGATAAGGAGGCAATACCAATATCTGCCATCAACAAGCAGGCTTGTTAAAACTCAACAGCACCAAGATTGCACAAAAAATGAAATTTATTTGAACTACGGAAGCACCAAGCTGTTTCTCTAGAGCTTGCATAACTGGCAACTGATATATATAAAGCAACATATTGTAGATTTCCCCCTGCTGATCTGTTTTCCTCTGGATCAGGACATACAACTCCCAGCTTGGATCCACAACATCAATTGGACTGCTACCTAATTCAAAAAACAACAATTGATGTCATATCTTCCCATCTTTTCTTCATAAAAGTAAGAAAATAACAGTGTTCTCTGATGACGTGAGATAGGTGATAAAATTACCATCAATAAGAAGAAGAACAAGAGGAATCAAGTGACTGTAAAGGCGTGCAGCATGCAATACAACCAAGCGAACAACCTGAAGTTGGCTATAGTATAGTACTTCCACGCGGCTATACTAGGTTTTTTCCTAGTTTTATTTTAGAAAGAGTACAGCCGATCGGCTATACCTGTTTTTATCTGATTTTTTAAAAATAGTATAACCGGTCGGCTTTACGCGGAGTTTTCCTTTATTTTTTTTAATATTCTGGTGAATCGGACTCAAACTCATCGGTACGAACGTCTAGGGCACAGAGCAAGCCCGTTCCGGATTTTGAGCAGTGTTCGAAATATCGGCCTAGGCACTAGGCGGGAGGACACCGACACCAGGGTGTTAGGGCGGCCTGGGCGGTTCTAGGCGGCCTGGGCTGATCTAGGCGGCGCCTAGGCGGATCCTTTTTTCTCCAAATGAAGACAGACGAAGCTTGCTGGTGCGAAGGAGGAAAGGTGACATAAAATAAGGAAAGGGCATAAGAAATGAGGGGTTTGTTTCGTGTGGAGTGAAAGGAAGAGATAGAAAACTGTGTTGCTGTTGTTGAGAGAGTGAGAATTGGGAGGCAAATGAAGAGGGAATGAGAGATTTATAATTCCTGGTGGTCTTGGTTGGGGTAATAAAGAAAAGGAAAGGATAAATTAGTCGTCAACACGCATGCAGGGAGAGGTCGGTTAGTGGACAGTGGACCATGCCTCACCAGTGCCTTTCTGCTTTATTGATTTCTTTCTAGTACTAGCTTCAAGGGCATCTTCCAGCTAATATGACAGTGGACCATGAAATGTATTTTGTAGAATGTGTTGACTTTGCCAAATCCTTCATCCAACAGTATATCAAAGAGGTATGTCTTCTTTATCTTTGAAACTAGGAGTTTTTTTGTCTATGTTTATATGCAACGTGATATAAGCAAAATAGGCAATCTATTCACTCAGACCCAAAAAAAGAAAAATTGTATCCATATTTTGTTTTGTCTATCTGAATGCATCATCTTATTCAACAATTTCACGTACTAAAATTGCAGTTCTGTATTCTTCATTTGTTGTATTTTTCTTGCAGTTTTTTAGACTCATGTCCTCATTTCTTGGCTTGTTTTTGAACTGTAGGATGATGTATTATTCAAAGTGCTCTTGCATCTGCTTTGTGTACCTTGTTGTGCAGAACAGTAAGGAATTAATATCCTAGTTTTCCATTGTTTTAAGAGTTATCATCATGGATTCCTTTTAACAAGATTTTTGGGTTTATATAGGGATGAAAAGGAAAAGGTTGCATTGGAGGATTCGAATGGCAATTTACTTTTCCGTGTCTCAGATCTTTTCAATCCTGTACTCTTGTTCCATATTTTTCCTACTAGAGGCAACATGCATTAATCTTTCATTTGCTTCTTACCATCCTTTATGCATTCTCTTTTAGGTGCTTGCGTAAAGTGTGTGATTCATGGAGCTTATTTGTGGAATTTCTAGTGGGTGGGCAAGCTACAAATCAGTCATTTTGCAAGAAAAGAAAAGTTTCATTGGGTGGCTCAAGTTCCTGGGGAGAGGATTCTCTTGCACCAACAAAAAATCATCTCACATTTCTTCATGATGAACCTGATGAAGAAAATGAAAATGGCTGCAAGCATACCCAAAATGGAGGACAGTATTTCAAAGAAGCCAAAGAGTGCTTACTTTCACTTAAAATTTCTATTGAAGGTCTACACCAAAAGAATCTGTTTCCCTACAATCCTAATGTTCTTCTGAACCGGTATGTCTCTTTGAAATGAGTTTCATTATGCTTCCCAGTAAACTAGTGATTGCTCTTACAATAGGGTTTGATTTTATTTTGAATTTACTACAGTCAACTTCTTTCTTTCACTTTTAGTTCCCTTCGTTCCTCGTGATCACGACTTATCCAAACTAAACTGGTTTCTCTTTGCTTGCAGCTTAACAAGATTTCAGGAACTCTGTTTTGAGGAAGAGAAATAAACTTCTAAAAGAATGAACTTATCAGCACAGATTTTTGCAGACCATCATTTATTCCTTTGAGTTGAAGTGATAAAATGAGATCTTGCCAACCAATGAGGCCAAATCTCAACGAAAACTCTTTGAGTTTCTTTGAATCAGGCAACTGGGCCACAGTCAGACAATGCTGGAAAGAGTGCTTTGAGATCCTCATGACTCTTTGAGGCCATATATGGAGATTTTTAAGAAGTGAATGCACTTTGTGGATGAACGTTGTTACATTGAGCAGTGAAGGAATAGAAGAACAAGCTTTGTAGTTAAGGTAATTTAGATTATATATGTATAGAATTTCCAATTTTTTTCCTCAACAAGGATAGGCGAAGAAATCTAATTCGTAGCATAGTCAAATCCACCAGATGAAGTCAAAGTGATAAATGGTTGTGATCACATGTTCATGTTTGTTGTCTAGACCAGTAAAGCTGTTCTCCCACCTCCAGGATATAATATTGCTAAAAAATACTCTTAAACATGAGCACCTGCTAATTCACTATACATATTCGATATGAATAAACTACTGTCAAAGAAAATCACCTGATATTGGTGTAAATTAATTCTATCCAAACTATACCAGCTGCCAGAGGCAGATAGAAAAGGACTTTACCTGATCTCAAGTCTTCCTAATCTCAATTGTCAAAGAAAACTATACCTGATATTGATGTACCCCAAGTCTTCCTTATTATCTCAAACATTCTTCTCATTTCAAAATATAAACTTCTGGTTTCTTATGTTAGAATTCTTAGTTTCAGCATTTCATGTTTTGGATATTTTGGGAGCAAAGAAGGGAAAAAGCACAGAAGAAATGAAAGAACGTTGCTCTGCAGAAAATGAATAATGCTTCTGTGTATTTCATATCAGATTTACTGTTTGGGTATAAATCGATAGGCAGAGAGAAGAAAAAAAGAGATATTCTTCCCTGTACCATATTTACAATAAGCTCAAGTTCTAGCATCCTATTAGATGCTTACACATGTCACTTAATCCTATGCTAGAGATTAAAACACTTGGACTGTGATCCAAGGGTGCACAATAAAGCTGAGGAAAAATAAACAACTAAAGGAAATAAAAAAAACAGAGCAGACACAATTCCTTTAGCTCCAAAAACTTGGCTGAAGGATTACACACCAACATTCCCTTCTAATCCTTTAGCCGACTTAACACCAAGTAATTCCCTTAAGTATGCAAACCTGTCCTTAGGCAAAGCTTTAGTCAGAATATCTGCAATTTGCTCCTCAGTTCTGCAGTAGACAAGTTCTATCTCCTTGGCTTGAATTGCTTCTCGAATGAAATGAAACTTTCTGTTAATGTGCCTTGACTTCTGGTGGAAAACAGGGTTCTTTGCCATAGCAATTGCTGATGTGTTATCACACATTATCTGTGTTCCTTCAATCTGTTCTTCTCCAAAATCTTCAAGTACAAATCTCAGCCACTTTGCTTGAGAAGTAGCCTCTGCAGCACTTATATATTCTGCCTCTGCTGTAGACAAAGCAACAGTATTTTGCTTAATTGAAGCCCACGAAAACACTCCCGATCCCATAGTAAAAACATACCCTGAGGTACTCCTCATGTCATCTTCACTTCCTGCCCAATCACTATCACAATAGCCAATAAGAGTAGTTTCTTTTCCTTTCTCAAATACAATTCCAAAGTCTATTGTTCCTTGAATGTATCTCAATACCCTTTTAGCAGTTCCCATGTGTTTCTTGGTGGGATTGTGCATGAATCTTGCCAAGAGGCTAGCTGCGAACATTATGTCAGGCCTAGTTGCAGTCAAGTAGAGCAAACTGCCCACAATCTGTCTATATTCTCCTTCATCTGCAGCCTCACTTCCATCATTCTTACTTAACTTCTCATTCATTGCAAGTGGTGTAGCCACTATTTTGCAATCTTTCAAACCAAATTTTTCAACCAGCTTCTGTCCATACTTCTTCTGATGCAAGAAAATCCTTTGTTTAGACTGAATCACCCCCATTCCAAGAAAATGGTGTAATACTCCCAAATCTGTCATCTCATAGTGTTCCATCATATCTCTCCTAAATTCTTCAATCATTTGAGAGCTGCTACCCGTGTACACTATGTCATCAACATATAGAGAAACAATAAGAACATCTGAACCTTCTGCCTTAACATATAAAGTTGCCTCACTTGGACTTTTCTTGAAACCGGCCTTGTTGAAATAGGCATCAATCTCGTCATACCAAGCTCTTGGTGCTTGCTTCAAACCATACAAAGCTTTGTGTAACTTGTATACCTTTGTTTCCTCATCCTTCTTTACAAATCCTTGTGGTTGCTCCACATATACTTCCTCTTTTAAAACTCCATTAAGAAATGCAGATTTCACATCTAGTTGATACAAGCTCCATTCCTTATGTGCAGCAAGAGCAATCAAAGTCCTAATGGTGTCTAGCCTTGCCACAGGGGCAAAAGTCTCATTGTAATCAATACCGGGCTTTTGTGAGTAGCCTTTAGCCACTAAACGAGCCTTGTTTTTCTGCACAGTACCATCCAGATTCAGTTTAGTCTTGTAGACCCACTTAACACCAATCACAGGTTTAGCAAATGGTCTCTCGACAAGTTTCCAAGTGTCATTTTTTTCTATCATTTCCAGTTCAGCTTCCATTGCCTTTCTCCATGACTCATCTTGAGCTGCATCTTCATAATTTTCAGGTTCCACAATACACACATTACACTTAGCCATGATTTCACTTACACTTCTCCATTTCTTTGGTGTGTGATCAAAGAAATGAGAACTTTCACCTATGCCTTCATCTTGCAGAGTGGTATCTTCAACTATTTGAGTTTGTGTATCCAAGCTTTGACTTGGTTCAGCTTGTAATGTGACTTCTTCATCCATTTGCAGTGATGTATCCAAGCTTTGATTCTCAGTAGGCAAAGGGACTACCATTTCTTCTTCATTTGTATTTTCCCACTTCCATAAGCCATTTTCATCAAATTGCACATCTCTGGACAGAATTATCTTCCTAGTACTTGGATCAAACAGCCTATATCCCTTTTCACAGAGACCATAGCCTACAAAAATACACTTGTGACTGTTTTCTTCAAGCTTATGCCTCAATGCTGAAGGAATAAGCACATGACAAGGAGATCCAAATATTTTTAAATGTGCAATTCCTGGTTTTCTGCCGGTATAAGCTTCAAATGGTGTTATCTTGTTAAGAGCCTTGGTAGGACATCTATTCAGCAGATAGACTGCTGTATTTACAGCTTCTGCCCAAAACTCATAGG